GAAGTGTAATTTTTAATTGCATGAATAATGTAGAATTACATAAAGACAGTTGCGTTTTATCATCAGACGTTATAAAAAAATGAATGTTTTAACGAAAGTCATATTTTTATCTATATATTCTAGCAATGGAAGACAAGTGCTATTCCGTTGCACTTCAGTTGGTTCGGAATGCGGGAAACGTAAGTCTTGGTTAATTCATGGTTTGATCTAGCGTTTCTGTACTATTTTCGTTTCAGTTAGTTCGTGAGGCGTTTCATCGTCCTTCAGGGGTAGAATTTGAAACGAAAAGTAGCAGCATAGACCTGGTTACAGAAATTGATCGAAATGTGGAGGCTCTGCTGGTTAATGGATTGAAGGCAGAATTTCCCGATCACACGTAATTATCGACTTCTATAAACGTTTCTGACGAATGAACCTTTGGCTTAAATTCGTTCTCATCTTCATGATGATAGTTAATTGTTTAAATTTTTTGAAACGATTATTTATATCATGTTCTCGAAGTTGAATTGACTATCTGCTGTAATAATATGTTATTCGTTATAATTGCCAAATGATATTGTCAGTCACTGGCATCGTCGGTGTAGTTTCGCTCTAGACCACATGTTTGTACAGCGAATGTATAAGGTCATGAAATTTATAGGATAATGTAAATAAATACATAAAAATGCGAGGTAATAATGATTTTTAAGGGTATTCTGGTTAAGTTCATAGTTAGATTCCTGAATGCTGCATAAAACATTGTATTTATTTATACGCAACGCGAGCAATAAAGTTAACTGGTGATTGACTGGTGTCAATACGGTCCCGATGGTAAAAGTGTGCCGGCATCATCACTGACACTGGCTGATTAGGCGCGTCAAGGAGACAGTGATGTTCAATTCCTGCGCGAACGTCAACCGGTACAAAGATTACCGGCTCTGTGCGGATTGGATGGGTGTCGTTTCTTTCACCAAGAAACTATTTAACAAGCTATCGGACCGATGCTCGACTCCTGGCTCAACTCGTACAAGCCGCTGCTAACGACAAAACGACTTCTCAGGTCAGACACCCATTCTCATTACTTTTAACAAAGCTCTTTAAACACGGAAAGAAATGTCGATATGGTCAGTCACTCAGCTGACCATGGTACGTGCGTTGTGTATGAATAAACCGTGTTTTATGTTGCTTTCAGTATACCACCAACGCAAGAATGAATTGCTCTATTTAGATTCCTATCAGATTAACTAGCTGCGGTCTGTTGCAGCAGATTATGATTAGTGGTTAAAAAGATATGAAGTAATTCAAACAGCTGGCCGTTGGTGCCTTTGTTATTAGTAGCTGAATTTGCTGCTCATATGGTAAAGAATTGTGTTCATCGGAGATGCCGTTTAAGTAACAAAAACTTAATCTTCATTAAAATTCTTTTTTAAATTTACGTTTACCCTTTATGCCGACCTTTCACCTCTCAGATAAGCGAAGAAGAGCTGCTGCCGAAGGTCGCACGCGTCAGACAGTACAACCATTTGTCTCTTATTTTGGCATGATCACAGCACCATGCTGTTCAAATTATTAATAAGTAAACCACCTTATACCCATTTTTCGGCTGGTTGTGCGAAACGCACTGTAGTGAATTCCTTACTCAAGTGAATTAGCGGTTACAAAGAGAGAATTCACACTGCATGCTCGCTTGAACCCGCACTCTGTCGTTCAGTTCAACCAACTGCGCCATTGCTCCCCCCCCTGAAATGATGAATTGGTCAGATTTGCTGTATAATATGTATAAAATTCTTTACGTAAGTTTAATGATGATTACGTGTATATGTAAATAAATAATTATATTCATTTAAAGACGACATAAAGTCTATTAGCTGCAGACTTGCGTCATCAGGAAAACCAGAGCCATGGTCCAAAATTGAGTGATTAAGCATGTTGTCTACCTTTTAGACAACAGATTGTATTCGCTTTAAATAGAGCTCATTAGCACATCTACTTGTTCAAATAGCTGCGGAAAGAAGTAACGATTCGTTGCCCACTTGAATAACAAAAATTAAGAATCTTCGATTCT